ATGGATCAAAAACTCCAAGCCTTTTCTCCTTCTTGCCTTTTCTCCTTCTCAAGTATTTGATGACTATGAATTTGGAAGTATTGAGTTTGTAGTTTTCCCAGAGAGGCCACTATGGAAAAAGTGAAGATTAATTGTCCAAATCCTAGAGTCAGGAAGAAGCTGAAACTGGAACCAGTATGCTGATGGTTTTCTTGTATAGCTTTTATAGCTGGGGTAGGACCACACCTGTGTCATTTCCAGTGTGATCCTAGAAGGTGACCCTCCCTCACTAATCCTTAGTACCCTCCCCCTGCAGCAACAACCTGAATTGTCCCAGGTCCTTTGAAAGCTACAGGTATATTTAGATGACTGATTACTGATCTAGTTGACATAGTAACTGTAGGTATGTGCTGCTTTCTTTCTTATTCCCTTCCGTTTCTGCCCTTTCTGGTTTTGAATATTTTATATGATTCTGTTTTGTTTTCTGTTTTACATATCACCGGTGCTTTTTCTCTTCCTGTGTCTTAAGCAGTGCCCTGGAGTTTGTAAACTATGTTTGCAGCTAATCCAGCTCTGCTTGTAAAAAGCATTCTGCTGCAGAGTAATCGCTGAGATACACTAGAATAGCAAGGTATTTCTGATTCCTCGCCTCATCATTTAACCCTTTCTGTCATTTATTGCAGTCCACATAGACACACATGACGAGTTGAAAACAAGGGTAAAGACAGTAGCTTTTAATATTTGCCTCTTCTTTCTGAGAGGTCTGTTTTGAAATGTGAGTCTAAACAATTATTTTGATTTTCTTCGTCTGAAGAGGTCTGTGTTTCTCCTTTGCCTTTGAAGGGTACTCTCATGTGGCAGAACCCTAAGCTGTCCTCCTTTCACTGGCAATGCTAAGTTCTTAGCTCCCACATTTCTTTCTTCACAGATTCTGTGGAGAAATCAGTTGTCTTTTTTATCTTTGTTCCTAAAGAGATTAGTTGTTTTCCCTTCTGTATTCATTCAAAAAATTTTTTTGTCTTTGATTTCCTGAATTTTGAACGTGATACACCAGGGTAGAGGTGTAGTCCAGTGGTGAAGTACATTGCTTAGTAGGCCCCGGGTTCAGTTCCAGCATAATAAAACAAAACAAAACAATGAGTAGTATCTCAGCAAGTATGGGATTCTGTTTTGTTATTGACACTTAACCTGCCTTGATGTTTTCTGAGCTTCTGTGGATTGGCATGTCATGGTGACTTATTGCAATTTTTACTCATCATTGCTTGTAGTTTTCTCCCATTCCTTTCAGTATTTCCCTTCTGGTATTCCCATTATACATATATTATACCTTTTATAGCTGTGTCATAGTTCTTCCACAGCCTACTTTTTCTAGTCTTTTTTTTTTTCCTCTTTGATTTTCAGTTTGGGAAGTCTCTATTAACATATCTTCAGCTTTGAGATCTTTCCTCTGTCATGTCCTGTTTGCTAATGAGCCCATCAGAAATGCTCAGCACTTCTGGTAGGGTTTTGATCTCGAGCATTTCTCTTTGATGATTAGAATCCCCACCCTTGGCTCAAGTTCTCCATCTGCTCTTGTATGTTGTCTGCTTTTCCCTTTAGATCCTTAGTATATTAACCACAGTTTTTAAAAATTAATGGTCTGATAATTTTAACATTCTTGTCATATCTGACTGGTTATGATGTTTGCTCATTCTTTCAAGCTCAGCTCTTTGCCTTTTAGAATGCCTTTTCATATTTTCCATGATGTGTAGCATAATATCCCAGGTGAATAGAACTGCATTAAATAGGCTTTTAGTAAGGTGGTGAGGAATAGGGAGAGGGAAATGGTCTATCTTAATGATTCCATTTTGGTCTTTTAGGGATCTTGTGTTTCTGAATTGTGAATTTCTCAAGTTCTCAGAATTTTCCCTCCTCCTGAGTTGGGACACTATGCATTGTAGCATCTGAATTGATACATTTCCTTTTCCAACAACGTGTGACTACAGTTGTTGTGTCTTTAAATCCTTTGTCATGGATGGTCCGAGGTGCCAGGATTTGGTACTTTGATCCCCTGTGAAGTTGCTGACCTGCTTTCTGTTCCTGCGGATACATCTTCATTAGAATAGCTGAGAAGTAGTCATACTGTCTTTGGAAAGTCACAAATATTTTTCCTTATAGTTTGAGAATTTTTTATTTGACTTCAGACATTTAGGTCTATGATCAATTTTGATTTTACCAGGTTATTTAATTTTGTTCTGAAAAGACGACTCACTGGGAAATGTACATCAAAAGCCCTGTATTGCTTCATACCCAGTTGATATTGCTGTGATAAAAAAGAAAAACAGAAATTGGCAAGTGTTGGTAGGGCAATGGAGAAACTGGAAAGCTCGTGTGCTAATGATAGAAGTGTCAACTGTGGAAGGCTGTATGGAAGACTGGGTGACATTTTCTCAAGTATAAAACAGAATCACTATGCAGCCCAGGAATCCCACTTCTAAGAATATACCAAATGCATTGAAATCAGTACTCCCAAAGAAATATCTGTACACCAGTGGTCACACCACTGCCATTCACAATCGCAGAAAATGGAAGTGAGCCAAGTGCCCATCAGCTAATGAATAGCTAAGCAGACTGTGGCATATGCATACAATAGAATATTATTCAGCCTTACAAAGGAAAGAAACTCTGACATGTTACAAGATAAGTAATCCTTGAGGACATTATCTGCCCTTAGCCAAATGGTAGCAGATTATACTTTCAGGTCTTGGTATTGTTGATTTACTTATGATTTCCTCTTATCTACCTAGCTCATGTCACCTAAAACTGCTCCCTCTTTGACGATGATCCTTACTTCATTTATTCTTTCAAGCTATACTTTTAGAATTTTTTTCCTTGATGGATAACATGATATTTCTGGTAAATGGAGTTACATTAAACAGGTCTTCAGTAATAAAGTGTGCAGAGGGGAAATGGTATGTACCTTATGATTCAGTCTTGGTTTTGGGGGATTTTTGTGCTGTCCAGTGTTGATGTGTTTTAAACTTTAAAACCTTTCCTTTATTTTGGAGTTTTTTTTCTTTCATTTTTTTTTCTTTTGTTTTGGTTTTGTTTTTCAAAACCAGGTTTCTCTGTGTAACAGCCCTGGCTATCCTGTAACTTGCTCTGTACACCAGGTTGGCCTCGAACTCACAGAGATCCGCCTGTCTCTGCCTCCGGATTGCTGGAATTAAAGGCGTGTGCTTCCAGTGCCCACTGAGAGTTTCTTTTTTCATGTGTTTTTGTTCACTCATTTTTTTCTTCTATACAGCCTTAAATTTTCTTTAGTCTGATTTTGTGGCCTTTAAATTTTCAGGTACTACATATATAATATTCAGAAGCTTCTGTTTATGTGTATAAGATTAAAGTTTATGTACATAAAAGAAAGATCTGTACATGTCATGTGTAGATATAGAGTTTCTCCTGTTATTTTTTCGATGAGTACTAGAGTATATGGTATTTGATATATGTCTATTTTGTTACATTCTTTTAAATAATGCTAAGTTATACTTTAGTGGATAATTAATATACTTAAATGAATTAAATTCTGTAGAGACTTAGCTTCAGCTAGACTGGGTATATCTCTAACAATCCTTCTGGCACAGTATACTTTGTTACTAAGGTGACTTTTCCTATGGATTGCCTAGTACCTTGTCCTAGGAGCCTTCCCTCTCCGAGACCACTCTTTTTGTGGTCAGGAGTGAAGCACGGGGTTTGCTCAGGCTGCTGCTCTCTGATGCTTCTTTTTCATCTCTTGGGGGTTTCACTCACACATACACAGTTCAGTGCTTAGCCAATGACTGCAGCACGTTCTTCTCCAACCCCCACCCCCAATCTAGTACATTTTAGGACTCTTGCTGCCTTAACATTCCCCCTCTAATCTCTGTCCTTTCCATTCACTTCCCTTCCCCACTCTGTCTTTGAACCCCTTTCTAGACAGTAACTTAGGGCAGTTGCAAACCTTCCTGTGTTGTTTCTTTTCTCTCTTGGGATCTGTTTCCCTGTGTTGGAAACCTTTGATTCCCTGTTTTGCTTTGTTACTTTTGATTGTTTAAAAGCATTTAATTGCTAAAAGCAGTGGGTAAGCCCTGTTACTGTTACTTCAGGGAGCTGAAGTCTTCTGTGGATTAGTCCTGCTACTTCATGCTATCAGAGAGCTGAAGCCTTCCTTTTGTCCTTTTGTGTTTCCTTTCTATGTTTAGAGGCAACCTGAGTGATCTTAGTTAATGTCATTGTTTGTCACAATAGCTGGTAGAGGCATCTACTGTTCAATTCTTGTCGTATCTCTGTAATAATTGATTCAATGCCCTAAGTGAATGTGATACAGACTTTGTTTGGCAATAGCATTAGTATTTAGACTACACAGAAACCTGGGTGTTGATTTGTCTCTTTGTGCTTGTAGTTTTAGGAGTGTTCTTCAACTAATGGGGCACCACCCCTTTGTCCTTTTGAGTCAGGGTCCTCAGGCTTGAGTTTTTGGTTCAAGAGCCCAGCGTGCTTGATTGGTTAATTGTCAGGGCAAAATGAACACTTTAAGTAGATAGAAAAAGATGAACTTGGAATAAAAGATTTTTATTTCCAATTAATTGAAAAGGATTCTGGTTTCTGTTAAAGATATAATTATAACTGTGAAAGAGGAAGGCTCAGTCTACAGATAGAAAACATGGTAGTAGATGAGCATCATAAAACAGATGTCATAGAGGCCATATGACATGCTTGCCAAGGGTAGTCCTGGAATATTATTGATAGCATCTTCATGTGGGTGATTTACTTATGAAACCTATATACGTACACTTATGCAACTTTCCTGGTTTGAATGATTCATTTTATACATATACATGTAATATTTCTGTGGTCATCCTATTTACAAAGACCGGTTTACATAATATAAGGTGTTAATTCCTTGGTGATTGTTGTTCCCTGGATAACACATTTACTGTTTACTTTGTGTTTTAGTGACTAGTGTGTAGTAATTAATAAACATTTTTTTTTCATTTTTCCTGCAGATGATCTCAATGCCACCCACCAGCACTGTGTTTTGGCTGGTTCACAACCTCGGTTTAGTTCCACCCACCGAGTGGCAGAGGTAAGCAAAAATAAAAATGTGATGATTCACACTTAACTGAATGTTACCATAGAGCTTTGGAAGAGTGCTTAACCAGAAAATCACTCTCATCTGATTTGTCTTTAGTCTTTATTTACTTATGTTTTTAGCTCTGAGTTGTAGTGGCTGCAGTTTTCAAATTTATTCACAGTACAGGATAAGATTATTTCAATTATTAAATGTCTGTATTAGTGTGTGTGTGTGTGTGTGTGTGTGTGTGTAGGTCAGAGGACATCTTGTAGGGGTCAGTTCCTTCCTTCCACCATGTAGTTTCCAGGAATGAAACCCAATGTCCTTAGGCTTGGCAGCCAATATCTTGCTGCCAAGGGTTTGATTACATGAAGTAGGTAAATGTCATTACATATGCTGATAACTTTACACTTCCATGGGTGATCATGCCTGCCATGGTCAAGGGCACAGAAAATGAGGTGAATTTGTTTGCTTGTGTATATATTACTTGTTTTCAAATGGCTGAGATCAACATTTGCCTTAATTTTTGGTTGGACAGGTAGACATATGAATATAAATTTATGAGAAACTTACAGCGATGTCAGAGAACTTGTGAGGTCCCCAATCATGTTCCCAGCACAGTGGCTGGGCAATGGCTGGTAGTCAGCCTATCAGCTGAGAGCAGAATGGAAACTATAAGATGAGAAACATGTCTAGCAGTCACTCTAGGGTTTTAGAGATCAGGGGAGTAATGGCAAGGATTATAGACTGGCTTCCTATCGAAGTCTTAATTAATGAACAAGCCAATTACAGGTTGCTAGAGTAAGTCCAAGGCTTTTCACGTGTTAAGCATTCACCAAGCAACAACCCCAGAACCCTTGCTTGTTGACTGTGTTTTGCCTTGTAGCTTGACTCTTCAGAGGATATGTGTGGGGATGTGGTCCAGAAGAAATTAACCTTGTAGAACGGCATTATAAGTGCAGCCTCTTGCCAGTCCTGAGGCTGCACAAAGCCACCGAGTCAGGCAACGCCATGCCTTTTCCTGGTAGACTGAATGTCATGGTGCTGTATAGCAGAGAGGGCAGGCATATTTTCAGAATGCCAGCAAGCCTGCCAGTCAGGCCACCGAGTCAGGCAACACCACACCTTTTCCTGGTAGACTGAATGTCATGGTGCTGTGTAGCAGAGAGGGCAGGCATATTTTCAGAATGCCAGTGAGCCCACTAGTCATTCTGTCTTACTTTCCTGCAATCTTTTCTCTGCTGTTCACTCATTCTTTGAGTGTTTCAGTATTTCTTTTATTTACCTGCACTGCAAGTGTGGGAATTAGAGCCACCCACATAACCATTCTGCCCAACTCTTTTACTCAACTGTTATTTTGTCTGGGGAAAAATGATAAATACAAACATACAAATTCTTGGCTTAGATTGTTGGAGTTGTTTCTTTGAAAGGTAAATGCCAGTGGCAAGTGTCATTAGTTCTAAGTAAGTTCTGTTAAGAAGGAGGGGGGGTAAGAAATAGGGAGGAGATGGAATATTTATAGACCATCTGATGTGGTACAGGATGCTTCTGTTTCCTTTTGTAGTCATCTGTCTAGATATAATCCTCCCAAGAGTCCTGTTCTTGTCAGTCACTTGAGTATGTGCTATGTAAGCATGTCTCACCCACATCTTTCATAATCTAACCTGTAAGGGTAGACAGTGTGGTATTCAGTGGACCTGTGGCTCCTGAAGAGTGAAATGGTTGGAATATGTATTGATGGGGATACCAATATTCTTGAATTCATATGATTCTTGGTATTCAATGAATTATTGCATATAAGTCTTTTAGAACAGTGACTTGAAAAATAATAGAAGAGGAGAGAGGAACATTAGAGACTCCTTGTGGTAGGTTATTTCATCTCTGTGTTCACTAGAGTGGACGTGAAGCAAGAGACAATAAAAGTCTCGATTATGAAAATTTCTACTAAGTGAGAGCTGCTATTCAGAAGAAAGGATTTTGTTTCACTCATATAGCAGACTTTCATTAACTATTTGACACTCAAGGTATTCTTTTAGCCAGTTGTAAACAGGAACAGGTGGTTTATTAGTGTCTTCAAGATGCCTGCAAGACAAGTGTGGTGGTATATGCCTGTAATCCCAATATTCTAGATGCTGAGGAAGGAGCCCACATGTTCCAGTCCAGCCTAGGCTACAGAAGATACTTACAGATAGGAACAAGAATAGTGTAGAATATGAGGTAGCAAAGAACATAAGACATCATGGTGAAATGACTTTGGAAAGTTAGGATGTATTCTCCCCTCCAGCTTTGATCCCTTTTTCCATGTGGACCAATTTCATACTGTCTATTAGTTACTTTCAAAAATATCCTTAAACTTAGTTTTCTCAGATTAGCCATAGCTATCCTTGTATCTTTTATAGCTTTAGGTCATATTTTGAGCATTAATTCACTTTAAATGAAGAGGGGGACTGTGTGTAGTAGGTTTCTCAGAAGAAAACATTTCCCCAAGTCAGGCTAGGAATGTAATTGAATGGGTAGAGCACTTCCCCAGTGTTTTTTGATCACTAGGCATACCATAAGCAGAACATGTGGTGTGTGCCTATAACCCCAGCAATTGTGAGGTTGAAGCGAGAAGATCAGAAGTTCAAGGTCTGACTTGCCAGTATTTTATTAAGTAATTTTGCATCAATGTTCATGAGGTATATTGGTCTGAAGTTCTCTTTCTTAGTTGTGTCTTTGTGTGGCTTGGGTATCAGGATTATTGAAGCCTCGTAGCAAGAGTTTAGCAAAGACCCTTCTGCTTCTATTGTGTAGAATACTATGAGAAGAATTAGTATAAGCTGTTCTTTGAATTTTTGGTAGAATTCTGCACTGAGGCCATCTGGACCTGGGCTTTTTTTTGGTTGGGAGACTTTTGATGACTGCTTCTATTTCCTTAGGGGTTATAGGTCTATTTAAATTGCTTATTTGTTCTTGATTTAATTTTGGCAAGTGTTATCTAATCAGAAAATTGTCCATTTCCTTTAAATTTTCGAATTTTGTGGAGTACAGGTTTTCAAAGTATGAACTGATGATTCTCTTAATGAGAATTCATTGTTATGTCCCCCTTTTCATTTCTGATTTTTTTAATTTGCATGTTCACACTCTGCCAATTGGTAAGTTTGGAAAAAGGTTTGTCTATCTTGTTGATGTTCTCAAAGAACCAATTCTTCATTGCATTGATTCTTTGTATTATTTTCTTAGTTTCTACTTTATTGATTTCAGCCCTCAGTTTGATTATTTCCTGGTATCTACTCCTCCTGGGTGAGTTTGTTTCTTTGTGTTCTACAGCTTTCAGCTGTGCTGTTAATTCTCTAGTATAACTGTCCAGTTTCTTCATGTGGGCACTTAGTGTTATGAACTTCCCTCATAGCATTGCTTTCAAAGTGTCTCATAGGTTTGGGTATGTTGTGTCATCAAAACAATCATTCACCACGATCAAGTAGGTTTCATCCTAGGGATGCATGGATGGTTCAACATATGAAAATCCATCAATGTAATCCACCATATAAACAAGCTGAGAAACAAAAGTCACATGATGATCTCACTAGATGCAGAAAAAGCCTTTGACAGAATCCAACACCCCTTCATGATAAAGGTCTTGGAGAGATCTGGGATAACCTAAACATTAATAAAAGCTATATACAGCAAATCAACCGACAACATCAAACTAAATGGACAGAAACTCAACACGATTCCGCTAAAATCAGGAACAAGACAAGGCTGTCCACTCTTTCCATACCTTTTCAATATTGTACTTGAAGTTCTAGCTAGAGTAATACGACAACAAAAGGAGATCAAGGGGATACAAATTGGAAATCAAGAGGTCAAACTTTCACTATTTGTAGATGATATGATAGTTTACATAAGTGATCCAAAAAACTCTACCAAGGAACTCCTACAGCTGATAAATACTGTCAGCAAAGTGGCAGGATACAAGATCAACTCAAGAAAATCAGTAGCCCTACTATATAAAGACAATAAAAGAGCTGAGAAAAAATCAGAGAAACATCACCCTTTACAATTGCCACAAACAATATAAAATACCTTGGGGTAATGATAACTAAACAAGTGAAAGACTTGTGTTACAAGAACTTTGAGTCTTTAAAGAAAGAAATTAAAGACAACATCAGAAAAATGGAAAGATCTCCCATGCTCTTGGATAGGTAGGATCAATGTAGTAAAAGTGGCAATCCTGCCAAAAGCAATCTACAGATTCAATGCAATCCCCATTAAAATCTCAGCACAATTCTTCACAGACCTTGAAAGAACAATAATCAATTTTGTATGGAAAATCAAAAGACCCAGGATAGCCAAAACAACCTTATTCAACAAAGCAACATCTGGAGGCATCACCATCTCTGATTTCAAGCTCTATTATAGAGCTGTAGTCCTGAAAACAGCTTGGTATTCCCACAAAAATAGACAAGTAGACCAATGGAATTTAATTGAACACCCTGATATTAACCCATACATGTATGAACATCTGATCTTCAACAAAGAAGCTAAAAATGTACAATGGAAAAAAGACAGCATCTTCAACAAATGGCAGAAATGGATGCTGGCATGTAGGAGAATGCGGATAGATCCATGTCTATCGCCATGCACAAAACTTAAGTCCAAATGGAGCAAAGACCTCAACATAAATCCAGCCACACTGAAACACTTAGAAGAGAAAGTGGGTGTTACCCTTGAACGAATTGGTACAGGAGACCACTTCCTGAACATAACACTAGTAGCACAGACAGTGAGGTCGACAATTAATACATGGGACCTCCTGAAACTGAGAAGCTTCGGTAAGGCAAAGGACACAGTCAACAAGACAAAAAGGCAGACCACAGATGGGAAAGATATTCACTAACCCCACATCTGACCAAGGGCTGATCTCCAAAATTTACAAAGAATTCAATAAGTAAGTCTCCAAAACACCAACGGATCCAATTAAAAAGTGGGCTACAGAACTAAATAGAGAATTCTCAATAGAGGAGTCTAAA